CTCTGCCCATTTTTTAATAGTCTTATTTACTTTTTGGGTGTTGAGCATGTGAGTTCTTTATATATTTTGGATATAAACTCCTTGTCAGATATGACATTTACAAATATATTCTCCCATACTGTCTGTAGGATGCCTTTTTGTTCTGCTGATGGTGTACTTTGCTGTACAGAAGCTTTTCAGCATGATATAGTCCCATGAGTTCATTTTTTATTTTGTTTTCCTTGCCCAAGGAGATGTGTTCAGGAAAAAGTTGCTAATGTTTGTATTCAGGAGATTTTTACCTGTGTTGTCTTCTAAGAGTTTTATGGTTTCATGACTTACATTCAGGTCTTTGATCCATTTTGAGCTTACATTTATATTTGAAGTTAGACAAGAATCCAATTTCATTCTCTTGCATGTAGCTGCCAGTTTTGCCAACACCAGTTGATGAATAGGCTGTCATTTCCCCATTGTATATCCATGGCTCCTTTATCATATATTAATTGGCCATATATGCTTGGGTTCATATCTGGGCTCTCTAGTCTGTTCCATTGGTCTATGGGTCTGTTCTTGTGCCAGTATCAAGTTGTCTTGATTACTGTGGCTTTGTAGTAGAGCTTGAAGTTGGGGAGCATAATCCCCCAAGGTTTATTCTTCCTTCTCAGGATTTCTTTGGCTATTCAGGTTCTTTTGTGGTTCTGTATGAATTTTAGAGTGATTTTGTCTAGTTCGTTGTAGAATGCTGTTGACATTTTGATAGGAATTTCATTGAATCTGTAGATTATTTTAGGCAGGATAGTCATTTTGACAATATTAATTATTCCTATCATGAGCATGGGATGTGTTTCCATTTATTAGTACCTTCTCTAATTTCCCTCATGAGTGTCTTGTAATTTTCAGAGTATAAGTCTTTCACTTCCTTGGATAGGTTTATTCCTAGGTATTTTATTCTTTTTGATGCAATTGTGAATGGAATTGTTTCCCTGATTTCTCTTTCTGCTAGTTCATTGTTAGTGTATAGGATTGCCAACAGATTTCTGTGTACTAATTTTGTATCCCACAACTTTGCTGAATTGAGATATTAGATCTAGTAGCTTTGGAATGGATTCTTTAGGATTTTTTATATACAGTATCATGTCATCTGCAAACAGGGACAGTTTGACTTCTTCCTTGCCAATCTGGATGCCTTTTATTACTTTGTATTGTCTGATTGTCATGGCTAGGACCTCCAGAACTATGTTGAATAAACGTGGGGAGAGTGGGCATCCTTGTCTTGTTCCTGATATTAAAGGAAAAGCTTACAGCTTCTCACTCTTAGGTATAATGTTGGCTGTGGGTTTGTCATATATGGCCTTTATTATGTTGAGGCACTTGCCCTCTATACCCATTTTGTTGAAAGTTTTTATCATGAATGGATGTTGAATTTTGTCAAATATTTTGAAACACTCTTATGAAGGTTTCACATGAAAAAACAATGTGGTTACTACATTAACCCATAGTATGAATTCCCCATCCATACCCCAGTGCAGTCACTGTCCATCAGTGTAGTAAGATGCCACAGATTCACTGTTTGCAATCTCTGTGCTACACTGTTTTCCCTATGACCCCAACACCATGCATACTAAACATAATACCCCTCAATCCTGATCACCATTCCGACTCACCCTCACACACCTCTCCCCTTTGGTAACCACTAGTCCCTTCTTGGAGTCTGTGAGTCTGCTGATATTTTGTTCCTTCAGTTTTGCTTTGTTGTTATACTCCACAAATGAGGGAAATCATTTGGCACTTGTCTTTCTCCACCTGGCTTATTTCACTGAGCATAATATCTTCCAGCTCCATCCATGTTGTTGCAAATGGTAGGATTTGTTTCTTTCTTATGGCTGAATAGTATTCCATTGTGTGTATATGTACCACATCTTCTTTATCCATTCATCTACTGGTGGACACTTAGGTTGCTTCCATATCTTTGCTCTTGTAAATACTGCTGCAATAAACATATGGGTGCATATGTCTTTTTGAGTCTGAGTTGTATTCTTTGGGTGAATTCCAGGGAGTGGGATTCCCGGGTCAAATGGTATTTCTATTTTGAGTTTTTGAGGAACCTCCATACTGCTTTCCACAATGGTTGAACTAGCTTACATTCCCACCAGCAGTGTAGGAGGGTTCCCCTTTCTCGGCATCCTTGCTAGCATTTGTTGTTCTTAGACATTTCGATGCTGGCCATCCTTACTGGTGTGAGGTGATATCTCATTGTGGTTTTAATTTGCATTTCCCTGATGATTAGTGATGTGGAGCATCTTTTCATGTGTCTGTTGGCCATCTGAATTTCTTCTTTGGAGAACTGTCCTTCATATCCTCTGCCCATTTGTTAATGGGGTTGTTTGCTTTTTCTGTGTTGAGGCATGTAAATTATTTATATATTTTGGATGCTAACCCATGGTCAGATGTGTCATTACAGATATATTCTCCCATACTGTAGGATGCCTTTTTGTTCTGTTGATGGTATCCATTGCCATACAGAAACTTTTTAGTTTGATGTAGTCCCATGAGTTCATTTGTGCTTTTGTTTCCCTTGCTCAAGGAGATGTGTTCAGGAAGAAGTTGCTCATGCTTATATTCAGGACACTTTTGCTTATGTTGTCTTCTAAGAGTTATATGGTATCATGACTTACATTCAGGTCTTTGATCCATTTCGAGTTTACTTTTGTGTATGGAGTTAAACAATAATCCAGTTGCATGTAGCTGTCCAGTTTTGTCAACACCAGCTGTTGAAGAGAGGCTGTCACTTCCCCATTGTATATCCACGGCTCCTTTGTCATATGTTAATTGACCATATAGGGTTGGTTTATATCAGGGCTCTCTAATCTGTTCCATTGGTCTATGGGTCTGTTCTTGTGCCAGTACCAAATTGTCTTGATTAGTGTGGATTTGTAGTAGAACTTGAAGTTGGAGAGCATAATCACCCAAGCTTTATTCTTCCTTCTCAGAATTTCTTTGGCTATTCAGGTTCTTTTGTGGTTCCATATGAATTTTAGAATGATTTTCTCTAGTTCGTTGAAGAATGCCATCAGTATTTTGATAGGAATTGCATTGAATCTGTAGATTGCTTTAGGCAGGATGGCCATTTTGACAATATTAATTCTTCCTGTTCATGAGCATGGGATGTGTTTCCATTTATTGGTATCTTCTTTAATTTCTCTGATGAGTGTCTTGTAGTTTTCATAGTATAGGTCTTTCACTTCCTTTTTTACATTTATTTTTAGGTACTTTATTATTTTTGATGCAATTGGGAATGGAATTGTTTTCCTGATTTCTCTTTCTGCTAGTTCATTGTTAGTGTATAGGAATGCCACAGATTTCTGTATATTAATTTTGTATCCTGATGCTATGCTGAATTCAGATATTGGATCTAGTAGTTTTGGAGTGGATTCTTTAGGGTTTTTTATGTACAATATCATGTCATCTGCAAACATGGACAGTTTAACTTCTTCCTTGTCAATCTGGATGCCTTTTATTTCCTTGTGTTGTCTGATTTCTGTGGCTAGGACCTCCAGTACTATGTTGAAGAAGGTGGGGGGTGGGCTTCCTTGTCTTGTTCCCAATCTTAAAGGAAAAGCTTTCAGCTTCTTGCTGTTAAGTATGATGTTGGCTGTGGGTTTGTCATATATGGCCTTTATTATGTTGAGGCACTTGCCCTCTATACCCATTTTGTTGAAAGTTTTTATCGTGAATGGATGTTGCACTTTGTCAAATGCTTTTTCAGTATGTATGGAGATGATCATGTGGTTTCTGTCCTTCTTTTTGTTGATATGGAGGTTGTTGTTGATGGGTTTTCGAATGTTATACCATCCTTGCATCCCTGGAATAAATCCTACTTGATCATGATGGATGACCTTTTTGATGTATTTTTGAATTCGGTTTGCTAATATTTTGTTGAGTATTTTTGCATCTTTGTTCATCAGGGATATTGGTCTGTAGTTTTCTCTTTTTGTTGTGTCTTTGCCTGGTTTTGGTATTAGAGTGATGCTGGCCTCATAGACTGAGTTTGGAAGAATTCCCTCTTCTTCTACTCTTTGGAAAACATTAAGGAGGATGGGTAGTAGGTCTTCACTAAATGTTTGATAAAATTCAGTGGTGAAGCCATCTGTTCCAGGCATTTTGTTCTTAGGTAGGTTTTTGATTACCAGTTCAATTTTGTTGCTGGTAATTGGTTTTTTCAGATTTTCTGTTCCTTTCTGGTTCAGCCTTGGAAGGTTTTATTTTTCTAGAAAGTTGTTCATTTCTTCTAGGTTATTCAGTTTGTTAGCATATAATTTTTCATAGTATTCTCTAATAATTCTTTGTATTTCTGTGGTGTCTGTAGTGATTTTTCCTTTCTCATTTCTTATTCTGTACATGTGAGTACACTCTCTTTTTTTCTTGATAAGTCTGGCTAGGGCTTCATCTATTTTATGTATTTCCTCAAAGAACCAGCTCTTTCTTTCATTGACTTTTTCTATTGTTTCATTCTTCTTGATTTTATTTATTTCTCCTCTAATCTTTATAATGTCCCTCCTTCTACTGACTTTGGGCCTCATTTCTCATTCTTTTTCTAGTTTCATTAATTGTGAGTTCTTTCCTGAGGTTGGCCTATATTGCAATATACTTTCCTCTTAGCCTGGCCTTCACTACATCCCACAGATTTTTGTGTGTTGTATTACTGTTGTTATTTGTCTCCATATATTGCTTGATCTCTGTTTTTATTTTATCATTGATCCATTGGTTATTTTAGCCAGGAGTTTCATCCCATTCACCTCCTCTACTTTTTGTCAAAGTAGCTAATAGTTCACAACTCCCCAGCCAGGGAAACAAGAAAAGAGGGGCTGGAGAAGAGAAGAGGGGTTGGCTTAAGTCTCCCACTCCTGGCAAATCACCAGTAACCAGCACTGTGACTGTTCCCAGGTGGCCTGGCTGGCTTCTTTAGGTAGGTGGTGCCTGTTGCTCAGGAGAGTAACTGTGGCCTGTGCTGCCCTTTTCAGGATAAAGGAGGAGTGGAATTTCGTGGCCGAATGCAGGAGCAAAGGCATCCCCCAAGCTGTGTACTGCAAGAATGGCTTTATAGACACCAGCGTAAGGCTTCTGGAGAAGATCGGCAGGAACTCTCTCACAAGGCAGAGTTCTCTTTCCAAGGAGAGAGACAAGCAGAGCAGTGCCTTTGTGTTTGAGCTTTCAGGGGAGCAGTGGAAGGTGAGTCGGTGTGTTTGTGTCTGTGCCACAAGTGGGTCCTCAATGCCGGGCTGCCTTCAGGTCTGGTGGACCAAGCCCCTGGCCCTTTGAGAGCTTTTCCATGGATGGGAGGAGCTGGTTGTCTACTCTGAACCAGGTGGTGTCTCCTTCTCCGTGAAGCCTTGCAGTGTAGTCATGCAGAGAGCAATGGGATCCAGGGGAGGTGTGCAGACTTACCTGGATGGCACAGCACTTAACGTGCTTCACTGCACTGCCCTTCCCCCAGACACTTAAAGTAACTTTTTTCCTTTTTTCTTTGTTTGTTTTAAATGAACGGAACTTTTTACTTATCTAACACCCCTCAGTGGGTGATGACTTTGCTGACTCATCACAGTGTGCAGAACATCTCGGAAATTTCAGGTTTCCTCCTGAGATTCTGTGGCCAGGACAAAGATGTCCCCACTTTCTTTCCTCAGGTGTTTGCAGGTGGCTTCCTGCCTCCACTGCCCTGCTGCTTTGCTTGGAGGGGCGTCTCCCAGGCTTGCCCGTGCGTGGAGTTTTCTGGCTGAAGCAGCATGTGGGTGTGCCCTGGGCAAGTGACCTGGGACAGGGTTCTCCAGGACCTGCCCTCCATCACTTTGTGTCCCATCATTTTCTGGCTAAAAGGACTCTGGACCTGGAGACTAAATATTTGGGCTGCGCCCGGGTTGTCTTTTATTGGCCACATGGCCTGAGGCAGTTCACCCCACTTTTGTGTGGTTTATCCCTCTTCAGTAAATGGCTCTAATGCTTGCCCTGACTCCCTCTGAGGGCTGTTGTGAGGATTAGATAAGCGAATCCTGTGTGGCACAGAAGGCTGGTTCAGCCTTGCTGTGATTCTGCCCTCTAAAGTGGGGAGACATCATTACTCTCACACCTCTTTGATGTTCCTTCTCCTGTATCCCCACTGTTGAGATTGATGGATGTGGGGACACTGCCGCTTCCAGGGCAAGAAGGAGAGCATGTTTGGATTTCTAATGAAATACCCCTGGCAAATCATTCTTACATGCCATCATCAGAGGTGACCCCGGGCTAAGCACTTACGTTATGGGGTCACCAGCCCATGTGGAGAACTTGCATCGAATCTTCTCAGCCCATCATTTTAAAGAGTGTCCAGTGAGTGCCTAGGGTGGTAGGAGACTAGGAAGAGGGGTGTGATTCATCAGGCTCAGGGAGGCCCGTCGGGACCTCTGTGTCTTCATTACTCGCTCCATCCCCTGAGCCAGGTGTCTCTACCTTGACTGGGACCCACCAGGGGAAACCCGGGAGCATCAGGCATTCATTAGTATGAATTTCCTCCCCCGGAGAGACCTGTGTTTCAGTGTTACCTCTAAGTAAGAGTGAAGAGGCCCATGAGGGGATTTTTCACCATCTTGGCATGCTCAAGGGAGCTCTGGCCTTCTGGGACCCTGGGGACTGGGTGGGGAGAGCCCTGCTGAGTGGGCGAGCCCTGCAGGTGGACTGGAGAGGGTGGAGGAGCGGTGGCTCCTGCTGTAAGCCGGGGACCCCAGGCCCTGGGCCCTGCTCTTTCAGGGAGAGTTCCTCAATTTTATTTTCTGAGACTTGAATAGGATTTTTCATTTCTACTATCGATATTACTTTCTAAAAACTGGCTGTTGTTTTTGTGAATGAATGAGTCCTGTGATGTAGCTTTGTCTTTCTACTTTCTGTAAAGTATCTTTTACTTATACGTTCAAAGATTTTGTCCTGTTTTCACTGCACAGTGTGATGGCTTTTCTTATCTATCTTGGTATCGATAGCCCTTTTAGGGGAAGTTTTCTTCTTTCAGAGTCTTCTTTTCCTTTTGGAGTGTTTGTCTTTACCTGGCATGTTGGGGCTCCCTTGGAGGTCTGGGGTCACTGGGAGTTGGGAGCATAGACAAGCTGACTGGATGCTCCCAGTGTGTGTCCTGTGGGAGCTTTGTGTCTTGAGGGCATTGCTGTGGAGCCTCTGGCTCGCTGGCCCACTCACCCCGCCCTGGAAGGGCAGGTTTATGGCTTGCTGCGGCTGGTGAGAACCACAGGAGGAGCCTCTCACTTCCTGCTGCGGGGGGCCCATGAGCCCGCGAGGCCTGGGCACCGCGCGTTTGCCCGCTGTCACTTCAGAGGTGAAGGCCCAGTGAAGTGGCGCACCTGGAAACCAGTGGGGCCCGGCTGCAAACTCTGGTCTCCCCACGGAGTTTCTGGTGCTTTCCTATTACAGGCTCATAAAAACACTTAGGAATTTGGCCCAGCAAATATGAGATGTTTATTGAGTATTTTAAAAAGCAACCATAGGGGAAGGGAAATGCAGCACATTTTAAAATCTAATGCATGGACACACTTTGTTTTTAGAAGATGTTAAATTGATGTGCTGTCATGGCTGTGAGTGTGAGCCTGGCTGTCTGTGTTTACTCACTAGGCATTTGATTTTAATCATATGAACTCACGGGCAGTTTTGAAACTGGGCTAACCTGTTCTCTTGAATTTCATGACAACTGCAGACTCTTTCCTTTCTCTCAGAAATGGGTGTGGAGCTGGCGGTTAAGTCTAATGCTCTCGTGCACTCTCTCCTTTTTTAAATAAATGCCCCATTTCACTTGGCTTTGTGCACATGCCACTCAGCTCTGACACACTGAGGAAGTAATTCTGATTGACGTAATTCATTCTATTTTAGGAGCTCCCAGATTGGTTGAAGGAGCAGACGCACCTGAAAGAGTGGCACATAAGCAATACCCTGATTCAAATCATTCCTACGTATGTTGAACTGTTTCAAGCGATGAGAATTCTGAATCTGCCGAAAAACCACATCTCCCATCTTCCAGCTGAAATTGGTATGTTATTGAGCAAAGCCTTCAGGCTGCTTGTCTGGTAGGCAGGTGACCCCGTGAGAACTGAACTGCTCGCTTCTCCTCCTGTCCCAGGAAGGCTGGGCAGGACCTCTGTTCTGCTTGTTCACAGTGTCCCCTTTGGGAGGTGGTGCCACGATCTCACGTCAGTAACTCAGCACATGCAGACATTTGCTAATTACTCACAAACTAGAAGTCTCATGGGTGAGCAACACTGAGTTTAGGAACTTTTTATTTTCTTTTAGTTTTAGAAATACAAACGTGTAATGACATGTTTCCTGTAATAGAACATATTGTTCTCATATTTGTCCATTGATTAAGTTTATCTTATGTCATTTTTTATCAAAATTTTATAATTCTTAATAATTTTGTTGTTTGGCTACAACATCTTAAAATGAAGACCACAGTGATCATTACTGCTTCTCTTTCTCTCAAGGTGTGGGGCAAAGGTCAGGGGGCCACATGAAGCGCCATTCTCACATCACATGCCTTAGGACCAGTGGTGCACCATAGGAATCTGAAAATTCTCCAGAGGCCAGGATGGCATGGCACTGGTTTACAGAAGGTGGTTTGAAGTGCTGGGAATACAGGGTGGCTGATTGGGCCTCTGGTGCTTGTCCACGTCCACCTGGCAGGGTATGCTCAGGTGATGTGGCCTTGACCACCTTTACACCCAGGCTGATGTCAGGGCGGTTTGTGCATCTGCAGCCTTGATGGGTAAGGTGATGTCTTCCCCAACTGAAGAGCATATTTGTTTACTGTTTGCTGTAACAGCAATGGGATACCAAGCCCCGTGTTTGTCAGCTGTGATGACCTCGTGGGTGGCATTTATATGGGCTGTCTGTGTCCCCATCTTGTAACTTGGGAGTATTGGCAACTGATGTAAATATGTTGTCTTTGGTTCAAGAGACTTAGGTCTCCTGCCAATATCCATGAAACAGTTACAGGAAAACTAAGTAGCTTACACAAGGGTAACACTAAACCCCAACCTGATAAGCATAAGTATTTCTGTGTCCTTGCCCAGTTTCTGAGAGGGTAGAAAGGGCCTTAATATTTTTATAGCTGAAAAGTGCCATCTTTGACATGTTAGGGGTCACTTACCTCTTGCTCCTACGTTTCACAGACTGGGGAGACCAGCTCCCAGCATTAGCTGACTTAGCTTCATCACCTGGGTCCTGGGCCCGGGGCTCCTTGAGAGCCTGGGCTAGAAGCCAGAGTCCATGATTTCCAAGTCATTTTGGGGGAGTCTTACAACAAGTCATTGAGTAAAATGTCTGAGGACTGAGTTACTTTAAAAAACCCCTTTCAGGTAGAAAGGTTCTGTCCTTGTACATCTGAAAAGCCTCAGTGGGTGCGCTAGACTCGGGGATCTCTGCCATTTGGTCAGCCTGGGGTCAGGAACCCAAGACAGATGGGGTGGGAAGCACGGAGCCCTTGAAAAGGGAGATCCGGGCCTCAGACAGGATGGCTCCGTGCTCACAGCTGTCTGAAACTTCACCATAGCTGCTCTGCTTAATATGTGTTTTTATTAGTCTCTAAAAATGCCTTCCTGGAAATTATTGCTGGCAGATCAGCATCTGTCTGCTCTTGGAGCCAGTTTGATTTGGGCAGTGTTCTTAATCACAGCTACACATTATAATTCCTGAAGAGTTTATAAAATCCGAATGCCTGGGACTCACTGCAAACCAATTCCATCAGCATCTCTGGGCCTGGGATCAGCATTTTAAAAGCTCCCCACATGACTCACATGCGCAGCGGAGCTGAGACCACCGGGTGAGGGGGTGTTCATCCTGGGTCACAGGGAGGAGAAAGGAGCGAGGAGGGAGGGGAGGCCAGGCTGTGCGGCACCGCTCCGCGCCCAGCCCCCTCGCCTGCAGAGAGAGGGCCGCAATACCCTCCATCAGCTGCTGCGAGGATCAGGTAAGGCGGCACCAGGCACCACCGTAGTGCCAGGCGCAGAGCTGCCACGGCTCCTCCACCGCGCTCACATTCCTCACGGTGGGAGGGGGGGGGCGGGGCAGAAAAGTCAACATCCGGGAAAGGTTTAAAATGCAAAGTGAATTTTCAGTAAGCACTGTTAACAGTTTTTCATGTGTCAAAATTATACACCCATGTTCTTCTCTAGATCTCATCATAGCTATATCCATTTATAAATATATGTAAACATGCAAACTAGATACATTTACACAGTGGGCTCCCACCATGTTCCCCAGCCTTCACCTTGTGTGTTCCCCTCATCACACCATGAGGATGGTGGCGGACTCTAGGGTCAGGCTGTGTGCGTCTTCCACTGGCTGGCAGGTCACCTTAGACAGGTCACCCACTAGTTTGCAGCGGCCCCATCTGTGAAGTGGGGACAATAATAGTGCCTGCTCTACAGGGTTGTGAGGATTACACAGATACTACAAAGACGGCACGTAGAACAGATAGACTCCTGACATTACTAGCTGTGTGATCATCGTCATATTACTATTATCTTTATGGTAATTTTATTTATATCAGAATATCCAAATCTTCTTCATTCTCCCTAATGGCTGAGTGATGATTATGGCATGATTTATTTAGCTTTTTCTTCAAATATTTTAAGCTTAGTAAACTTAGTAAACTGAATACTAGGTCTAAGATTCTGAAGGCACATTTCTAGTCTGAGTAACTTGGGTAAATATTTTAACTTCTTTGGATCTTAGGATCCTCATTTGTACAATAAGGGGTCAGACTAGTTGGTCTTTAAAACATTTGGTACCTCTAAATTCTCTAGTGAATTGTTTTGTGTGTCAATCTGTGAGTGGGAGGGGGCAAGAAATCTCAGAAGCTTCAACACTCTATATTGGATTTAAGTGAAGTGTACCTATATTACCCAACTTATGACTTTGAGTCTATATTAAGTCAATGGATTATAATTTATCCAAATACATCTGTGACTTGGGCCAAGAGACAGATTCTCACATGGCAGAGAAATAGATCATGTCCCCAGTTTGGGGATTCTTAGGATAAGTGAGTATAAAATTTTTCTTTATCACAAAGGACGTTCATAAGAAAAGTAAGAATAAAATAATAAAAAGGGATTCTTAGAATCATTTAGACACTGTTCTAACTCTTATTTTCTTCTAGGGAATGGTTTTCTTTATTATTTCATTTTTGGATACTATTTGTGTTATTAGCTTGGGATATTTCGAGTATATTTCTTTCTGTACAAACACAAGTATTGTTGACATCTAGAATGAATCATTCCAAATGTGCTGTAAAGTGAAACAAATCAAAGTATATCAATTCAGGGCATGTCCCTTTCTGGATAAGCAGGTATAACTCCTTACAAACTAGAAATAAATTTTAAAAAATCAGCTGCAGGATCTGATAGTCAAGCAAGAAAGAGGAATATGGGAACAAAGAGTTTTGAGCTCTTTTATGTTGAACAGCTGTATGTCATAAAGGAGGTGGGGGCTGGGTCTCTAACAGTGTTGTCTACAGAACTACGGAGGGCTGACTGAGGCTGGGAGGGGAGCAGGGAGGGGTGGTCACCAGACAGGGTAGTTTTTGTCTCATTATAAAAGCAATTACTTCTGACATGTGACATCACCAAATTAAGTGTGGCAATGAATCCTCATAACTCCTTTATGAAACTCCAAGAAATTATCATTATATGGATTTAAAATAGCTAACTCCTGAGATATGCCCTCTTACCCTCATTCCTGCACTTGTGAGAGGGAATTGGCCAAGTACTCATGTACTTTTCTTATGTGATTATGGTGAGAACTGTTGTTGTATTTTTAAACAGAGAATTAGAAACCTTGAAAGTAGACTTTAAGACATTCCATTAACTTGAGTTTTATTCACATTCTTAAATTCTGTACCCTGGGCTCCTCTCTCCCCTGTCTTCAGCAGGCTCACATTTTCTTCTGAGCAAAGCCCATGTGTTTGTTTACCGCACACAGCTCCCTGCCCTGTGCATGGGGCTGCCATGAGCCTTCACCCTCTTCATGTGTCATATTTTCAGAGTTTATCTGCAACCTTGCCTCACTGAGTCCTCTTTGGAATGGCTCATCTGAGTTAGCTTATCCACATAGGCATCCATCAACCCATTCATTCAAAGCATACTTATTAAGCACCTACTGTATGCAAACAACAACAAAAATATTTGAGTACTTATTATGTGCTAGATAATACACCAGACCCTAAGGAGAAAATGGTGAGCAAAACACACAGTCCTGCCCTCATGGAGCGTGTAGTCTGGTGGGAGAGACACACATTGGTCAAAGCATCATCAACAAATACAAAAAGTGCTCCTGTGCCAAAAGCTATAAAGGAGTGGTGGCTGGGAGCTGTGAGCCCGGAGGAGGTGGATTCTAGCTCCTCAGGGAGCAGCAGCAGTTAGGAGCAGGGCCAGGCTGCAGGCAGCTGTGTGAGTCTGTGTAAGTTGCACAATTTTCTCCAAACTCTGCTCACACAGCAGAGGAAAGCTGCTAAGGTAATACCTGCCCAACCACATAGAGAGGCTTGTGAAGACCTGAATCAAATGAGATAATGCCCATGAAAGCAACTTGTAGTTTATAACGTGCTGTGCATTTTTAAATTGCTACAGTTGACTATTATTAACTGTGTTTGAAATATAAAGGTAGACAAGTTTAGTAACTCTTAAGTGTGTTTTCTAAGAAGGTTTCAAACAAGTGAATAATAGACGCTATTTTAGTGTGCTCATTTTTGTGAGGAGGAACTGTGTTCCATTTTCCAAAGCCTTGTTTACTGGGGCATGTGGCTGGTGAGGCTGGCTTCCCATGGCCTGAGAGTTGGGAGCTGGTGTCAGCCATAGTGCTTTGCTTTCCAGGTGTATCAGCAAAGTGGCCTCTTGCTGCCTAAGACACTGTGCACTGGTGGGTGTGAGGGGCAGCATCCTTCTTAGAGCAGAACCAAATGTTCAGGATAAAAGATGAGTAGACATTTACAAAGAGTATACATATAAAAAAAACCCAACCAAATAATGTGTAATGCCCTTCCATGCCCATTGGCTCTAAACCAGCTCTGCTGGAGAAAACAGCTATATTTATTTGTCAGATGAATAGTGCCAAATTCTTACTAGGACATTGAGATAGGAAAAGAAGTGTTTATATACAATTGAATATAAACATATACAATGTATTTGTGTCTACAACTTATTCAGATGTTATCCTTGGTGTAGACTTTCTAAAGCTATTGTTCTTTGGCCATCTTTAAGAAGGTTCTATTATAAAACTTTGTCTCCAGTTACTTCATCTTCTCTGTATCCTCTCACGATAGTCAAATGAACATAGAATTGGCATAAATGTGTTCCTAATGCACTGGAGCAAATGCCTCGGTCAACCAGGTTTACTTGGCTGGTTGAAAATTAGACATGACACAGAACATTCACACCAACCAGGCCAATGCTCTACTTTTTGTATTTAAACAAAAGGAGGATTTAAACAGAAACTGGGGCTCTGGATACCAGTAGTTTAATCATGTATTCATCAGGCATCCCCAGAAGAGAAACAGTCTTCCCTTGTTTTGGCCCCTTTGTCCATCCTGCTGTTTTAACCACAATATGTGACTATAAGGCTTGCAGTGTATACCAGGTAGGTAACTTAGGCCACTTATTTCCACAGCATTACCATTATCTTCTAACAAACAGTGAGAACAGCAAAACTGATTCAAAAATGGCCCTGCCTCCAATGTACTCTTTGTATGTCTCCCTTTCTCATTTATGAACAGCAAGAGATTTGTATGCTGAATGCCTACTCTGCAAAAGTAAGCAATGATTTTGGTTTCCTGATGGTATTCCATGCCCTAGGATGTGTATAACATGATTTTTGGAGTATTAAATATATGGTTTTTGTGCTGGTTTCTGGTTTGGAACTGTTTATATATTTATTCCGTCAGGACAGAATTGGAATGCAGTTTTTCTCAATCAATCTGATTATTGCCTGTTCTTGGTGTGTTCACTTGCTGCCTGTGAAAGGGAGTTGTAGCATATTCTTTAGGAAGTGTGATATGTCATAATTAAATCAATACAAATATAAAGCCAAAGATGAATGGTTAATTATACACAATTATAAACAATCTACTTGTTTGAATCATTTACCATGTACATAAAAGCTTTGTGCATATTTCAACACCTAGGCTGCTTCTCCGTAGAGCCCGCCAATAGGCCACAGCTGGTCACTGGACTTCCTGGGCACTGAGCCACTCTTCAGATCCATTGCCTGTTATTTAATTATCATGTAATTGCAAAGCGGTTTGAACTCTGAGAGTGCTGGGGCCTGACCATACTACATGGAGGACAGATCTCCTGCACTCACTAACCTATAGTTTCATCAAGAATTAAACAGGTAGAGTAAGCAAAAATGCTCTGGTCAAGGACCAAAATGCTCAGGATGAAAGATGAGCAGGCATTAATAAGGAGTGCTTAAGAAAACACATACAAAATTATGTCTAATGCCTTTACCATCATCATTTATACAAATGTTTTATATGTTGGTTGTGTTTTTTGTTCTTAAAGACATTAAAGGACCTATTCCACGGATGTTAATTTTTTTTTGTAATGACAGGTTGTTTGAAAAACCTGAAAGAACTCAATGTGAGTTTTAACCATCTGAAGAGCATTCCTGAAGAACTGGGAGACTGTGAAAATCTTGAGAGACTGGATCTTTCTGGAAATCTCGAATTAACTGAGCTCCCCTTTGAAGTAAGAAAGTACACATTTTTGCACTATGATCTGCTTTTATTTGGTTTATGGCATGGAATGGTCTATAATATGGGGAAGCAGTTTTAGAAGATGAAATCCATCTTTATTAAATCACAGATTCCTGACATTTCAGTCACCCAATACCAGCTATTATAAGATCTTTTCAAATATTCTTACTTGAGGCCAGGACCTGACTTTAAGTTCAGAAATGCTATCCAAGGAAAACTAGGCAAATACCCTCTTTTCACACAAGATACTTTAGTTTAACATATGATGCCTATTGTCTGTAATATAGATCCTGATCTATTTATCCACAATGGTGAGATAAATTGGGAGCAGTTGGGAGTAAAATTAAATAAATTAAAAATAATAAAAGAGGGGTTAGATTAAAAATAAGTTTTTGTATACTCACAATAAAATTTGTAGAAAACTAAAGTAGGATAGGATTTAACGAGTCCATTAATTTAAAAATATTAGTTTCTTTTTGTCTGTATTTATTGGAAAAAATGATTTTAAATCACTTTCTGATAAAATGGAACAAACAACAGTGAACAGTTTTTATTGCCAAATAAAACTCAATAAGCTTCTTGTGTTGAAGAGAGATAAGGATTCCACATCCTGCTGGTAATGAACAGGTTGAAGGCAGTATTGCTGGTGAGGCTCTGACAAGGCCTGGCCACTGATCATAGTCCTAGGAGGGGTGTTACTCTCCTTCCCTAGAAACTGAGTGGGAAGAAGTAGCTGCTTTTCATCAGCACCAGCTCACCCCTGGAGGTGCCCGACGATGGTCCTGGTGAGGTGCTCATCCAGGGGTCAGAGTTCCCTGCACAAGTCCGCTCATTCCCCGGTCTAGCCCAGTGTGGATCAGTTTTCTCTCCGATGTTCAGGCTGGAAGCAACTGAGTCATCTTTGACCTCACTTACTCCCATGCCCCTAACCACTCCATGAGTCAGCCCCGTTGGCCTGCCCTTCAGAATATGTTCCGTGCCTGACTACTGCCCAGCACCTTTGTGCCAACACCCTAGTCTAAGCCTGTGTTGATTGTCGTGTTGACTGAGACCACAGCCTCCTAGGTGCCTAGGCTGGTCTCCATCTCTTCTTCTACTTTTTTCCCCCTGTACTGAGATACAATTTACATACCATAGACTTCACCCACTAGGAATGTACAATTCACCATAATTCAGTTTTAGGATATTTCCATCGCTTTCTCAGAATTCTGCCTTGGCCAGTTAGCAGTTAATCCTTATGAGCTGGAGAAACAGGTTGTGCCAGGCAATCATGGTGCTGGTTGTTTTTTTTCCCTGGATATAGGTTTTTTGGCTCTTTGCTTTGAATGGTATTCTATAAATGCACAGTATTTGTTATAACTCCCCAGTGGGCTCTGTTATAGTAGTTCATTTTTGACTCTTCTCGTATATAACTTTGCTAATTCAGTACTGAAGACATGCATGGTCATATTGAAGGGAGTAACATCTGTGAGGGTGTCTGGATGCCATGTGTCCAACTTGCATTTATCTAAAGGAAGCACACGACACCGCTACTTCTAGTCTCTGCAGCCCCAGGAAAGCACTGTTTTGCCTCAATGCCATACCTAAGTGCTGGCATTTTTAAAAAACTGTGGTTAAAAACACATGCCATTAAATTTACCACCTCAACCATTTTTAAGTGTACCATTCAGTAGGGTTAAATGTGTTCACACTGTGCCTATCTTCATGAGGAGGTTTCTTATACAAATAAGTGGCACAGCCCTGAATTAAAATTCAGATAACAGGAAGTGGCATGAATGACCCATAAGAGGTTAGGGGACCGCACTGCCAGGAAATCTGAGACGAAGGTACAGACAGTGAAACTTCTGGGTAGATAAGCATTGTATTTACTCTGACTGAATCAGATTTTTACGTGGACAACATTGGAATTTTCAAACAAGTACAATTACTTTTCAAAACAGTATGTGAGCATTTTCCATGGTCCTTGGTGAAAGTAGCTGGTGGGAAGTGACTATATCCAGGTAACTGCTCTCCTTGCTCATTTAGTGCCTCTGTGATTTTTCCTTACTCTAATTTTCAAACAAGTCTTCAGTTATTTCCTTAAAATATCCCCAATAAATTATTTTACAGTCCAAAACTGTATTTTCTACAGTCATTATAAAAAGAAGAAAGAAGAGAGATGATGGTGATTCAGTCCTGATTTTTCCTCTGGCATGATGACCCTGGCAGCACAGTCAGAAGCTTCAGACTGAATTAGGGGCACCCAAAATATCTTTCTTCACCACTTATTCACTGTCACTGTCTTCACATTCATTTTTGTGAATTCAACACAAGAGCAAAATTAGAATGTGCCCTTTCAATAGGATGAATTTGACTGGTGTCTCACTAAAGCACGTTTGGTAAAATGGAATTGGGTATTATACAGAAGCATAAGCCTGCTTCTTCCTTTTTCTCTGCATTTCAGTACTAACTTCTATGTCCAACTGACTCCCTATTGCATTGCAGTTTTGAAAATGTGTTTTGGGAGGCAGTCTAAGTTTTATTTGTGGATTCTCAAAACGAGTCAACAAAAGGAGGTTCCTTCTCTATTTCATTGTCACTACCGAACTTAAATGAACAAATTCAAATAGGAGATAACTTTTCATATTTTATTCAATACTCACATATTTGCATTTGAAATAAAGATATACTTTCCTACATATTTCAGTTGCCATGTTAAAAATATGCATTATGGACATAAGACATAAACATTAAGATTTCTGAGTGTTTGCTGTGTCACTTCACCAATTCAAATGTGAGCCTTTTTAAGATTCGCATGAACTCCTATGGCAGTCTTCCCTGGCAGTCTACTCTTTAAGGCTTGCACTTTCTGTCCTTTGTGACTTTGTACCTGCTGTTCCCCACCTTGAGTTTTCTGCCCTACCGTTCTACCTGTCCAGGAATCTCAGGACCCAATTCAGACATTCCATTCTCTGTGAAACCTTTCCTGACCTCTGACCTTTACCCTGCCATGATGTTGAGCAGATTAGCCCTTTATTTCAGTGTTACTGAACATTGCAAGTTGAAAATTTCTTCACATTAGTTCTTACTGTATAAAACTGCATTGCTTCTCTTTGAAAGCATAAACTTCTCAAGGGCAGCCACTATGTGCTATTAATCTTTGCACCCCCAGTAAGTAGCACAGCGAATGACACATTGTAGGGGATCCAAAGTACATACTCTATTTATCTGTCTTGCATATATTCATAGGAATGTCTCTGGGAAAAAACATTAATCTAAAAATTATCAGTCAAACTTAATTCCCACTCTTAGAAGAGTAATTGGAATCTTTTGTTATTCCTTTCTAGTTAAGTAATTTGAAGAAGGTTGTATTTGTAGATATCTCAGCAAACAAGTTTTCCAGTGTCCCGATCTGTGTCCTGAGGATGTCTAATTTGCAGTGGTTGGATATCAGCAACAATAACCTGAATGACCTACCACAAGATATAGACAGGTAGCTACTTGCATTCTGAAGGTGAGGTATATGAATTAGTTACTAACACCTCAAATATTGTTAACGTTTTAAACATGCATAGCATATGAATGTTCTCTGAAAGCAATGAATTTCCAGAGTATATTGTTTCTAGGAAATGAGTCTGGTTCTTTATATAAGACACTTCCCTGTCTGCTTCATACATATCTATGTATACATATGTGCATTTGAACACATCTTCATTGCCTTGCTGAATTTATTATGATCCTCAGTAGAATGGCAACATTAACTTTCCCCTAGAAAAGTGGAAAAGTAAATTTATTATATGTAGAACAGAAATACATCCTTCTATGTTTAGATACCAATGAGGATAGCTTTTACTAGTTTCATTTATTGATTTATTACAGATAATCTTTCAAGCAGAATTGATACACATTGTAGGGTTTTTAAATTATATCCTTAAAGCTATTTCATGTTTAAAAAATAATTATTACACTGATCATGTAAGATTCATTTATTCATTCATTCAGTCCACCAAGGCTTCCATATGGCAGGCCTGAAGAGTGGGCTGGGTTTAAAGTGTAAGTGAAACAAAACCTCTGGTCTCTAGGAATTCACAATCCTCTTTATAAAGTACCATAAATAAGTTGTCATGACACAGAAGCCAAAAATGGCTTAGTCCTGAAGGCCACCTCATAGGACCTTCTTCTGCTCTGGTACATATGATGTGTATCAATGCTAAGATGAGACTAAGTGGGCATTGTTTTGGTTTGAAACACAAGGGGAACTTTGTGAAATATCTGTGAGATCAGTCAAAATTTTGCAAGTGAATGATGGAAAAACCTGGAGGAGGATCACAGAGTTGGAATAAAATGGAAAACAGAGTAAAACCTATTTGGAGCATAGTTTGCCCATTTCCTTTTCATCCTGTAGGTTTCTCCGTATTTTAAAGTTAGAAAATATGATGGGAGAAGAATGACTGTGCTTTCAAGAAATACAAAAGGAAACATGTCACTGTGATTTGTTTATTCTTACTCCACCAGTAGCATCATTGCTTTTCCATCCCCGTTAATCCCTGGGAATGTGGCAGACACTTTGAGGGAGGGATGTATTGATGTTTTAGGGCCCATCGCAGCCTGTTGTATACTGTGTAATATGCTTATCCTGCTGCTGTATTTATGTCTTCAACTTGCAACTAAGTCAGTAAAAATTAAAAAAAAAAACAAGTTGAGTCACCTGGCATGACTCTATTTGTTTAAATTTTAAAGTCAGTTTATTCTTATAAGGGTCACACACACAAAAAAATACTCAGTGGAGATGTTGTACTGGAATTTATTTGTAATTCACAATGGTTGTCTTAGCTATGAAGCTACGTCCTTGTGTTCTAATCTTTTCTACTTCTTTTTAGGCTGGAAGAACTGCAGACTTTTCTCTTGTATAAGAACAGGCTGACCTATCTCCCTTACGCCTTGCTTAACCTAAAGAAGCTCGCCTTGTTTGTTGTCAGCGGGAACCACCTGGTGGAGCTCCCGACGGCCCTTTGTGACTCATCCACACATTTAAAGTGAGTAGGTCCTGGTGGATGCACACTGAGACACAAGGTAAGAAGCATCTGGAGGCTGAGTGTCGGGCTCAGGACCTGGATTCGAGGGTCTTGTACTCTAAGGACCTGATCCCAGTTGAGGGAAGTTCTGATGCCTGTTTACAGGATTTTGAGTTTTTGCCCAGTGGAGTGGGAGGCAGAGCTCAGAGGATTTCTGGACAAATGCCACCTCCTGGCACAACGGGACACATGCCCAAGGCTCCCTGTTCTGTCGCTCAGTGCTTACATTACCAACGGCCTGGAGGGGTCAGTGGCTATTGCATCCTCCCTGGTCACCTCACCCTTCGTGATTTCCTTAAAGGAATCTAAACCACCCAAAACTAAGGAAAAAACATCCATGCAAATGATACAAACAGACTCTGATCTGGTGTGAGAAATTTAATAGTCTTCCCTACCTTGTAGGTGGGCTTGAGAAGCCCAGCACCCCCTCCCCTGAACTGACTCCAGGGTGTGACCCCTTGGCCTCCTGCTAGAGTGTCCTGCCAGAATCTGGGGCTTTGGGGTTCCCCCATCAGCTCTATCCTGAGACCATTCTGGCCTATCCCTTTTACAGGAGGCCACTCCAGTGAGGGCCACTTCTGCACTGTGTCCAGAGGCCCATTTGCCTTGAACACCAGTTGCTTACTAAAATCACCACTCACGGGAGTATTTTCCTGGGACTCCCAGTTCTCTCAGTAGTAAATACTCACTATTAGCATGAATCTTCCTTATCTTCTGGTCCTTACAATCAGATGTGCAGCAAACAGAAATAAAGAGGTTAACTATTGAGGAGAAAGAGACTAAATTCACTCCTGTATAAGCACAAGATTAACAGAGATGCATGACAGCTTCTCCCCCTGCCCCACCACACTCTCTCCTCTGGAACTGTCCTGTTCTTGGCCGTGTTGGGAATGCTGTCTGGGTAAGAAAAGGCCCACAGGTGAGAGGGGTAGTGGGATCTACCTCTAGAGCCCCTGCTACATTTAGGCAACTGGGAGGAGGTGTGGCAGCCTCCCATCCAAGAATAGGAGGGGAGCCTCTGGTCAGTGGAAAACTGCAACCTGTATGTGGGTGACTAAAGCCATTTCCAATGATAAATTGTAGGACTTGGAAATCTAAGAGAATCAGATAGAAACTCTTTGAATTAAGAAAGTTTAATAAAATGATTAGATATGTTTGCATTAAGAATTCAATAGCTTACTCATTTCCTAGAAGTAGCCTATAGGAAAATAATGGAAGAAATTACGGTAGCAATAGTGATACAAAAAATACAAATTATCTAGGAAAAGCCCTAGAAACGATAGCTCTCTTGAGAACTAAGAGTGAATGAAGAGAACTAAAAACTGTTCCCGAGAATATCAAAGAGGTCTTGAATATTTGGAGAGTCGTACTGTATCTTTTCTGGACGAAAGGACTGCAAAGATGTGAATTCCTCTGAAAGTTATATGTAAGTATAATATCATTCCAATCATACCTCCAGTGGAATTTCTTTCTTGGGTTTGAAAAACTGATTTAAAAGTATATCTGAAAGGCAAAAATCTAAGAACAGCAATGATAGTTTTGGAAAACAAGTAATGTGACAGAATTTGCCTTACTGAAAATTATAATGTGTTTAGAAGGTGTAATATCAAAATCATGTGGTACTAGGCATGGATTTACAGATTGATTATCAGAACAAAAGAGATAGTTCTGAAATCAACCTTAATATATGATACAGAGATTTTTATAAGCCAATGGGGAGGGTATGAACAACTAAATACACCATTCAAGGATTTGGCTAATTAGAAAAGGATAAAGCCTGTTCACTTCATAGCATAAGGGAGCTTTAGAGCATATGAAGCATGTAAAGATGGGCCCTTCCTGAGCTTCTGCGTAGAAGCCCCAACCCGCGAGGGCAGCAAGGCCACCTGCCACCTCCACCCAGCCTCCACACCTCTCAGGACAGCCATCTGTTCGGTTTTTTTTTGTGTGGGTTTTGTTTGTATAAATCATATTCCACTTGCAGATGGATCTGTATGGTCCTTATGAGGAATTTCATGATTTGAATGTGAAATTTCATAAATATTATCAATGATAAAATTCTTGGATATGACAAAAATCATATATATATATGGCATATAGAAAGGAATCTAGATTAAGCCACAGATTAAATATAAAAATGAAACTATCAAAAGAAGAAGAAACACATTAACGATGGGGGATTGATCATATATTTAACACCTCCTTCTTGAGACCCCATTAAATGAAGCAAAAAATAAAAAACCACATAAACCCACAATATGGAGAAAGCAGAGGGAGGCCTTTCCAGGATGAGAGAGCCCAATGCATTTGTGGGAGGCACCCAGCAGACAGAATAGTGGTGGTGATGAAAACACGATGAAGTAGCTCAGAGGACAAATCAAGGAACAAGCCCGCCTGCCCTGGAGGACTCTGAGGAATCTTGCTGGCCAGAAATTATGGGTACAGGAGATGCAGACTGCGGAGCTTAAAACTGAAGGAGAAAAGGGAAATTTCACATAACCAGGCAATGCCCTGCACTCCAGTCTCCTTGATTCCATTGGGCAGACCACTACCAGGAGCCCAGCCCCCTGACCAGCCTGGGTTTCCTCTACTTGGGGGGAAGACTCGGGAGTTCTGGGTTTGGAGGCTGCCCAGCAAACTGGCCAGCCCCGTCTCAGAGACCTCCACAGGGAGGATGGCCCTGGGTAGACCCCGCCTGCCTGTGCAGGGGCCCAGCCAGCACTTTGCTGTCTCATTCTCAGATTCGAAGGCATCACCAAGCCCTACCAGAGGACTGTTGTAAAAGTACAAGCATTGTGTATTGATTTTCAGTTTTAGAATCTAACTGTAGGCAAATGGCAAAGTTAAGTATGGTGACAGATCAGAATACAGATGATGTTGACATTTACATTGTAAAAGTAGAAGTACATGACGTCTGTGATGTGCTCTGAAATGTGTCAGAAACTAAGATGGCTTGGTGGGTGGATAGATTGGTGGGCGCGTGATAAAGCAAGTGCTGTAAAATGTTAAATGTGGAACCTAGGTGGTGGGAACAGGGGTGTCCACTGTAAACTTTTTTCAACTTTCCTGAATGTTTGAACATTTTCATAATAGAACATTGAACAAGTGAAAGTATGATCACAACAACTGGGGAGCAGGAGTATTGGGCTACTGGAGAGAAGGGAAGGAGTACCTCCACTTTAAGCGACATCGACGTTATTTGTCCTATGGTAAGAGAAATTTCAAATAGATTGAGGAAAACACAGTGATTGACCGATGAAGGAGATTGCCTCTGGAGTCTGAGAGCAACAAGGCGATGCGGCGAGAGACTGCTGCTTTAATGAAAAGTATCATTGCACTATTCAAACTTCAAAATAGGTACAGTGATTACTTTAGAAAAATTAAAGAACGACAAAATACAGGCTTCTTTTGGATAGGGAAGGACAATAAGAATTAATTCAGTGAAAGAGATTGAAAAGGAAAATTTGAGCAGACCTGTCTATGTAAAAATTAAAACTTTTTTGCTTTATCCATCTTTAGACAGTAAACTAAGTTAAAAGGAAAATGAAGTGGCTAAATAGATATGTTAAAATGTGACAGAGACGTGGCCCAGATAGTCCATCTATCAATCTGTTAATCTATCTGTCTTACCATCTATCTGACAGAGTAGCCTTTCTACAGAGCAATGAGAACAACACCGACACCCAAGACAGCAGGCTGACTGTGACTAAAAACCATTCGAGGGATTTCCTATTTTGAATTGAAACAATTATATCATCCTCCACATAGAAAAGCATCTTTCAAAATTGTGAAAATGGGAGTTCAAATGCCATTTTAGTTTCTCTCCTTTAGCTTCTTTCTGTGTGGCAGTAGTCCGTGTTTTAGATGACTCTCGTGGGGATTGTCGGAGTCTCTTCTGATCTAGCCATCTCGTAGCGTTTGGTGTCACTCATGGGGAGTGATACCAAGCCGAGCAGGACATCTAGTCTGAAGGATCTGACTGAGACAGCGTGTCGCTGTTTCCCTCACCGCCTCCTGCCACTGTCCTCAGTCCACACCTAGGTGGCTCTCAGTTCCCCAGCAGGCCTCTGAACAGTCTCTGCCTCAAGACTGATTGGATTATGCCGCAGTGGAACTCCATGCTATGTTGGGTGGCCAACTGTGACTTCCAAGGTTAAATAGGAATTTGGGATATTTCACTACAAAGGTTGACTTCTTATAGGAAGAATTTTGCAGTTAAAGTGCACAGGTAAAAATGTCATATTGTCTATATTTTTTTGAATAGATTTGTAAGCCTTATGGACAATCCTATTGATAATACCCTATGTCAAGGTAGTGAAGAAATGATGGAAAGTGAACAAGATCGCCAATGCTTTGATAAAGAATTTATGAAAGCCTATATTGAAGATCTTAAAGAAAGAGGTAGGTCACTCATATTTAAAATTATTTAAAATGAATATACAGAACTCTCTCACAACGTGTTTACTGATGTAAGTCAAATCGACAAAAAGTTCGTCAGTAAGGGGCAGGTTACCTTGAGAATTATTTTTCCATTTACTAAAAAAAAAAGAGAGAAAAGAAAAAAGTGTTTCTTCTAAATACCAAATTTTCCTAGTGCATTTGAATTCTTGACACATCACCTATTTAACAGATAGTCTGGAAAACATACACAAAGTGTGAAGACTGCGTTACTAACTGCACATCAGTTTTTAATTAGTGACATTGACAAACGGGTATCCTAGTTAATGGGAAAATAAGATTCCTTTCAAACCTCATTTAAATTCAGTGTTAGAAAAAGTCATCTCTTGTATAACTCGAGGTACACCTATATACAAATCACAAAAGAAAAACCACAAGGTGGCAGGTTAGGATAGGTCGGCTTGGTCTCTGTTCCCCACGGGGCGGGGACACACAGGGAAGCCTGGGCATCCCAGCCCCTCAGGAAGGACAGGAAGGGTTTTTCCCAGTTGCTGTTTCCAAAGTGTTCCAGAAGGCTGAGGGTCACTTCCTCTTGTCACAAGCACCCGGTGTCACAGGAAAAAGGCATAAAAAAGTCTTTGTTCTTCCAATCACCACCTCTTTCTCTGAGAGTTATCCCTGAGTTTCTCAGTTCTCTTTGCTTTGGTGAGCTGGGTGCAGCCCTGACATGAAGATAAACGTCATACCCGTGGATTTGGGGAGGAGGTAGCCTGGTCCCCTGTGGCTTTGAAGATGAGCACCTGTGGGCAGGTTCCCTCAACCACCCTAGAAAATCTCGTGCATGTGAGCTTACCCCCCCCAACCCCCCTCCGTTAGTAGATGTCTGCAGATGGCTAGTTACATTCAGGATTTACAGGTTTCACCTAATGAAAACTACCATTTATTTGGCAAATTAAAAATTTCTCAACTAAATTAAGTACATTTCTATACAGTTACCTCAGTTCTATTTGGCCATCCCTAGTCTTGAATGCTGAAATATTATGCAATAAATTAGACATTTATGTTAAACATGAAACTGAAATTAACATAACCACTTATATGTCAAAACCAACTTTTGGGGTGCCTAATTTTCCTCTTGTGAAAAACTTTATTGTCATTTTTTGTTAATTTACTCATAATTATACCTTAGTGCTATTAATGTAAAAATGCAAGAAAGAATTAACAAAAATAGGAATTAAGCTTTGGATCTATGTGGACAGCAAAAAGGCAATTTGCTTTTAAAAATTAACTTGAATGATGATAGATTTTTGAAACATTTGCTTACTTCTAGATAATTATAATAATTCTATCCTTCACATACTCATATTAGGTTGAACCAAATGATGCTGCCAATATTCACCTGGTTTTGACCTACAAACATGGCAATCTCTAAATAGTTCAATTTACACGTGGTCAGGCATGTTTGAATTTTTTTAAGTTTGTTTGTTTTCTTTTCTTTATTATGGTGTCTTCCTTTTTTTCTCTCCTTCCTCGTCAGACTAATGTCTGAGTCAGTCACAGAGGCCATGGCTCTAAGGCGAAAAGGTAGATAATAGTGAGTCCACATGGATTTCCAACTTACGTGATTCAGTGATGAGGAAGTGAAACCCCTCACTGGTTCCCAAATGTTCCTGAACCTGACTATATGTGGAATCTAAAGAACAAAACAAATGAACAAGCAAGCAAACAAACTCAAACTCAGAAACAGACTCATAAACACAGACAACAAACTGGTGGTTGCCATAGGGGAGGAGGGCAGGGGATGGGTGAACTAGGTGGCAGGGATAAAGTGGTACAAACCTCCTGTTATAAAAAAATAAGTCACAAGGTTGAAAGGTATAGCATGGGGAATATAGTCAATAACATTATAATAACTTTGTGTGGTGACAGATGGCAACTACACTTACTGTGGTGAGCATTTTGTAATGTGTATAAATGTTGAATCACTGGATTGTACACCTGAAAGTATTATATTATGTCAGATACACTTCAGTAAACATACACATGTACACACACACACACACACACACACACACACACACACAGAATCACCAGCAAGCCCAGTCGGCAAAGTTTTTGATGCATTAGGTCAGGGGATTGCCTGGGAATGTGCATTTCTAACAAGTTCCCAGGTGATGCTGATGCGTTTGGTACACCTTTGGTACACCTGGAGAACCATCCTTTGACAACATTTGGCTGTAAAGAGAGAGCGGGCAGTGATAAGTGGGAAGAACAAGACTGAGAAAAGGTGTACTAAGATTGTGCTTGCTTTAGGAGTAGCTCGAATTTCCCTTATTAACTGTATTCTCTTCTACCTGGTATCTATTACAGTCCCAAGTCCTTGGCCATCTATTTCTATTTCATCAACTTTTATTATTTTAGGGTCATACAGTTTCCAACATTCTGATGTAGCCGTGTGAGTTGTTTGGAAAGGTTGCAAAAGAATGAGAGTTAATAATTTTTTATTACTGTATCTTAAGTCTAAATGTTTCTAAAGCATGACTATACATTTGTGATGACTGATTTAATGGTGATAAATGCATTTATCTCTATACTTAAAATATGAAGTGGCAATAATTTGTGTATTGACATAATAAAATGGGGAGTGGTTGCATATATTGTTTTCTTTTGTTACAGAATCTGTTCCCAGCTATACCACCAAAGTATCTTTTAGCCTTCAGCTTTGATACCATCCGTCAGAAGACTGCAGAATCCCCCTATCCTGTGAAGCTGTACATCTTCGTGTTGTAGGTCATGTCACAGAGGAATATGATTTGTGCTTAAGGACAAAGTCTAGAAACCATGAGCATAGTTGTTAGGAAAAATGATTTTCAAATTTCAAATTTATGAATACCTCTCCCTGTAGACTGGAAAATTGATAAATGGGTTTATATATTGATATTTGAAGGATCACTTGCATACACTTTTTTCCAAATAATGCACATTTAATGTTTTATAAAATGTGTTATTTTTTAAAACTGTAACTTAAAGACCAAATTCTGAAGTTGATTGCATTGTTTTTAGGAACCTAGAAATTAAGGGGTTGTGGAAAGAGCATTTATAGTGTTCTAGTTAGATGAGACTTTATTATTCTGTAAGAGTTTTTAATGCATTTTTTGGTACACCTTTGGTACACCTGGAGAACCATCCTTTGACAACATTTGGCTGTAAAGAGAGAGCGGGCAGTGATAAGTGGGAAGAACAAGACTGAGAAAAGGTGTACTAAGATTGTGCTTGCTTTAGGAGTAGCTCGAATTTCCCTTATTAACTGTATTCTCTTCTACCTGGTATCTATTACAGTCCCAAGTCCTTGGCCATCTATTTCTATTTCATCAACTTTTATTATTTTAGGGTCATACAGTTTCCAACATTCTGATGTAGCCGTGTGAGTTGTTTGGAAAGGTTGCAAAAGAATGAGAGTTAATAATTTTTTATTACTGTATCTTAAGTCTAAATGTTTCTAAAGCATGACTATACATTTGTGATGACTGATTTAATGGTGATAAATGCATTTATCTCTATACTTAAAATATGAAGTGGCAATAATTTGTGTATTGACATAATAAAATGGGGAGTGGTTGCATATATTGTTTTCTTTTGTTACAGAATCTGTTCCCAGCTATACCACCAAAGTATCTTTTAGCCTTCAGCTTTGATACCATCCGTCAGAAGACTGCAGAATCCCCCTATCCTGTGAAGCTGTACATCTTCGTGTTGTAGGTCATGTCACAGAGGAATATGATTTGTGCTTAAGGACAAAGTCTAGAAACCATGAGCATAGTTGTTAGGAAAAATGATTTTCAAATTTCAAATTTATGAATACCTCTCCCTGTAGACTGGAAAATTGATAAATGGGTTTATATATTGATATTTGAAGGATCACTTGCATACACTTTTTTCCAAATAATGCACATTTAATGTTTTATAAAATGTGTTATTTTTTAAAACTGTAACTTAAAGACCAAATTCTGAAGTTGATTGCATTGTTTTTAGGAACCTAGAAATTAAGGGGTTGTGGAAAGAGCATTTATAGTGTTCTAGTTAGATGAGACTTTATTATTCTGTAAGAGTTTTTAATGCATTGTTATTATTTTTTTTTACTGAGAACAGTCTTTCTTGGCTTTATACAAACTGCTATTTTCATATGTCAATGATATTTTGCAAGTGCAAACTGTCAGGAAAGACTTGAGGTATAATCTGGGCTTTGATGGTAGGAAGAAGGGCTGGACTGTGGGCCCCTGCTTTGGGCTCAGGACACACAGTTGGTGCATGGGTAGCCCTTGTGGAGGGCGTGTGGAGCTGGCTGGTCATGGGGAGCCTCGCATGGCCTGCAGGTTTGGTTGTCCTACCCTGAGTGGGCTCCTCAGAAGTCCTGGGACCCACCTCAGAGCAAGGAATCAGAGGCAGGGCCCTCAGTGACGTCCTCTAAGGTGGCCATTTAGGGTTATAGGGATGACCAGTCCATGCTGATGAGGGGTGCCTAGCAAGGCTTTCTTGCCATACCACAGGACAGCTCTGCCCTGGCCAAGGCACTGGGGTGCAGAGGGAGCTCACGAGACTGTGTTTTACCTTTGCAAAGATGCGATTCATTACAGGGCTTTGGACTCTTATATCACATCATATGATCTGGAGAAATTGTACAGATATCTATTTTTATACCATTATCTTGGACTAAAATAAGATTGTGAGTGAGTTGAAGCTTAAACAAGTAGCTTTTGGTAACTATGCTTATTGTGGTGAGCATTTTGTAATGTATATAAAGGTTGAATCACTTTGTGGTACACCTGAAACTAATATAATACTGTATGTCAACCACACTTCAATTAAAACTAAGTAGCCTCTGTGACTAAGAAGGAAAAAATGCATCTATTCATGTATATTTAACATATGTATTGACTCCTCTAGGGTCTAACCCAGTGCTGTCCAGTAGGCCCTTCTGCAGTGATGCAGCTGTTCTATATCTGTGCTGTCCAGCGTAGGAACCGTAAGACACATGTTTCTTGAGCACTCAAAAGACTGGTGTGGCTGAAAAACTAAATTTTTAATTAAATTCACATATAACCATAGGTGGCTACCATATTGGGCAGCACAGATCTAGCGAGTTAGGTTTTTGATAAGTTAAGCTGGGCTAGACACGAAGGGTGATTTTTATTTTCTCTTATCTGAAGAACAAGTCCATCCCCAGAGGGGATACTATTGACACCCAAATATTTTGTCTTGTTTGGCTTAATGATAATTTCAAATATTTTATCCACAACAAACATAAAACAGGGAGAGCATTCTAAAGCACATGGTAATGCTTTAGTAGGGGATTCTTTCAATTTAAAAGCAAACTGAGAAGTGGTGAAGCGGTAAAAAGAGTGGGAATGCAAGAAATCACTCTAATGGAACTTCAAATGATTGTATCTTTATTTTTAACTCCTTAAAAATATAATTAAAATTTATTAGTTGTACTACTTCAATGACTGGAATTCTGTTTCATGCCAAGGTCTATGTTATATATAGCCAAATGGAAAAGATATCTGAAAAGGGTGATTGAGGGTTTTCACACAAATTGACTGTCCATACCTTACATAAAATTTATTTCAATTAAACCAGTCTTTTGTGCAAAAACCTTGCCTTGGTGTTACATATAAATAAATGAAAAAGTACTGCATTGATGAATAATTATTTCATGTTACATATCTCCAAACAAATACATTGTTTGAATATGATGGTTGTAGAGATACTATTTATTTATATAAATGTAAAAATGTAGATTCTGAAGTACAGTATGCATCTTAGTGAAAATACCATAGATTTTGAAAATTTTACATGATGCATGTGGACTAATAAATGATTTGGAGAAGTAGTTTGCATCATGGAATATATGTATGAACATTAAAGAAATATGAGTGAAAGAATAAAATATAATTCTTAGAAGAAAAATGTTTTGGTCCTTAAAGCTTATTATTTTACTCATTTTTCATGTGTTGGGAGTAAAAGGGCAGAAACACTTAGGTGAACTCATTGAGTAGTATGTTTTAATTGATAGCAAGATCCACACCAGATTTCTTGACTCCAGCTTTCTAGAATGACCATTTGGCATGTCTGCCAAACACCACATTAGGGTCACTTAATGATGAGTGTGAACAGGCAGCTCTGGAAATCAGTGTTTGTCCCTTTCTGTTCTTTCCTGCTTCAAAGCATCTCCCTACTTCTGAATGGGAAGGAAACTTCAATACTTTGGGGTACTGTTTTGTGGTGTATATAGGTTGAAATGCTTATTTTATGGTATGGGTTTTGGATTTATTTCTAAAACTTAGGACCTTAAATCTACAATAGTGTTGATGTATACATATATTTAAAAGATGTTCATACTCCTGTCCTCAGCAAAAACATCAGCTATTAGATGTGACTCTATGTAGTACTTTCGCACTTTTGGATAACTGCCAGAAACATACATACCTGCTTCGGCTACCCATGGCACATGAAAGAGAAGGCATGGTAAATGGACATTCATAAACCCTCAGCTAAGTCCTGCCAGACTCCTCTTGGGCAATCAGGAGGTAGGTGGAGGCAGTTTACCTTGCAGTGTGGCTTTCTAGACTTCATGGTGCCCTCCAGAGCCACTGGCTAGGACTCTTTGTGCTCTTGGTCTCATTAAGATTCCTCTCTGACGCCACCCGGGACTAAGGCTGTGATGAACATGTTTATTTTTCTTCCAGTTATTATGGATTCCAAATGGGGCTTCATGTAGTTCCCTTAAATTCTGCTGCTCTCTCATGTCTGTGGAGGAAGGATCAAAGCAAAAGAGATCCACTCTCAGAATTAAAGGGGGAGATTTGAAAAGGTCATTTATTCATTTCAGTTTAATTGGTTCTACTGTTTTGCCAATGTCATGGTTTTCCTGAAAAGTGTGCTTTGTAGCTGGAGAGTCCTTTGTGACTTTTATGAATTGCCTTCTCTGGATTCATGTGCAAGAGAAGCAAAAAACACAGAGACAAGAACATCAGACTTGGAGGCAGCGTAGAACTTCGTTCCACTAATACCTCTCCAGAGCCTCCCAAAGGTCTCAGCAAACACTAGTCTTGGGAATGAATAATAGACTGAACATTTTGGGGAGGCAATGTGATTAAAACTCACCGTGAAGTTTATTATCTTCCAGAGATGTTATTTCAGTACTGCCAAGTCAGAAGTACTTGCTATTTATACAAACTTGAAATAATTGTGCAAATATCTCTCTTCAGCTGCCTTCTGCAGTATGTACAATGCCGACACCCAAGATGTTTGTCCTGTACAGAGTAGGATGAGCATCGTGCAGGGAGCTGGAAGAGATGACTGATTCTTTAGGCTCCCTCTTCTTGTGGTTCCTCAGCTGTCAGGTTAGTGTAGGAAATGCCTGTATTACTTGCTGACATATGTATTCCACTGGCTTAGAATGAATTATATTTTCACCCAAAGACTGTCTTCAATTTGACTGAGACAAGACTTAGCATTTTATCATTTTAGTGAGGGTAATTTTTCTTTTTTGTAAATGAAGATTTAGTTTTAATTTCTAGATGATTCTTAGTTTTCTTATGCCAGCTCTGACCTTTAATATTGTCCCCCAGTTTTTGTTTCTCCTTCTCTAGAAGTCACTTCGGAATCCCACTGACACCTAAAACCAGCCTATTATTGATGTGTTTATTTTGTTTGTTTTCCAAAGCTACATTAACAATATTTTCTTAGTCTCCCATAATGTGTAATTCTATATAATTTTATTTTAAAAACATTATCTGCTACAAAAATTCCACAGACCTTACTGACTTTCTTAAAATACTTACTTGATTCTAGATTTTCCTGTCATAATCCTGGTCCATTCCTGATTCATACAGATGGCAGTATTTGTCATCAAATTTTGATCATGATCAAAATTCATTTGCTAGCAAATACTGCCACTGACAAGTAAGGTGGGAGATAGTGGAAAGAGAGAAATTAGGAAAAGTGTTGTCACTTTTAAGCTGGCGACAAGAAGACAAATACCATATAATTTCACATAAATGAGTTATTTGAAGTAGTCAATTTATAGAAACTGAGAGAAGAATGGGTTAGCAGGGCCTAGAGGGAGGGGGAAAGGGGAGTTGTTTAATGGATATAGAGTTTCAGTTCCGAAAATGAAACGTTTACAGATTGCCCCAGAGGGAGTGGCTGGGCTCAAGCTGGCCAGCCCTGTGCTTAATGGTCACAGACTACAGGAAGTGGCAGGTGGATGGAGGAGGGTGGGGAGCAAGTGAGAAGATGTGTTCGCAGTCAACAACTATTGCTTTAATTTTAGCCACGTAAACAGAAGGATTCATATTTCTAGATAAAAAAGATGTGAGAATGAATCTTAAAAGTATTCACATTAATCTGAGCAGAAACCTTTTAAAAAGCTACTTGATTTCAGAATTCTGGTGAGAATCCACGTAGACTTCCACCCATGTTCCTTCAGAGCAGGGGTGTTCCCCCTTCAATGATGCAACCCACTCAGTGAGAACCTGGGCATGCACTCTAGAGGGATATTTGTTTATTTATTTGTATATTATATCATTATACCATCCTGTTAAAATATTAACAGACATTATAAAACATGTGACGAGAAATAGAAAAGGAAAAATGAATGAGGTTTTAAGGCCCTCTTCCCCACCTTGGTGGAGGGTCGGGCCTCATCTCTCAGCAGCTGTCCCCCTGCCGTGAAGACCACTGCGCTAGAGCAAAGGTTTCAGCCTGCTGCTTTCCACTGCAAATGCTTCCACAGACTCACCTCAAGGGGTCTGTGCAAAATTTCCTGGCAAGCAGGCCCACAGGCTTCATGAGATTCCAAATAGTTCTGTAGGCTTCCGTCTCAGTTGTCCACCTCAGAATGGATGAAACTGCAGTGGTCTTCTTTTTTTTTTTTTTTTTTTATGTAAGACAATTTGAGCAAAATATATTTAAAAGGAAATTCAAGTTTTTATACACAATAACATCAGTATTTGCCACTAGGAAATTATACAAACTGGTGGGCATTTCAGTATTGACCTTGGATTATTTGATTGTCTTCAAAATACACACAAGCATTGTAATACTTACATTGATTTGTAAGTGATTGAACATCATTGGGTCTATACTAACTTGTGTCCCACACCGATTAGCATTTCCTGTAAACATTTCCATCTTTGGAGAAGGGGTACACATTTAACATTTTAAATATATACAGCATTCCATTATGTTAACCTTATATACTTTGCACAGAAATGATATTTTTGTTGAACATTTAGTTCATTTCTGATTTTTTTATAGAGGTTCTGAGGCCATAAACACTTTGCCTAATTTACTTTAAAATTTCCTCTTGAGGAACACTTTCCTGGGTGAATATTCCTAAAAGGAAAATGCAGATTTAAAGTATGTAGGTAATTTTGTTGGTTCATTTTTTTTAATTGTGAAGTTTAACTCTAGAAAGAAGAACATACCATATTTTAAGTATCATAAGAGATATATAAATTAAATGAACCCAGAAAGCCAACATGCCATGTTTAAGTTTTGTTTTGAGAACTTAATAGGAATATAACTGCACCTTGAAATTGCCTTAATTTGCATCTCCTTAATTGCTACAAATATTATACTTTCCTTTATAAAATGCCATGCTGCCCATTATTTTTCTTTTTGAGAGGGCATCTCTCATATTTATTGATCAAATGGTTGTTAACAACAATAAAATTCTGTATAGGGGACTCAATGCATAGTCATGAATCAACCCCAAGCCTATATCTCAACAGTCTCCAATCTTCTGAAGCATAACAAACAAGTTCTTACATGGTGAACAAGGTCTTACATGGTGAACAAGTTCTGACATAGTGAATAAGTTCTTAAATGGTGAACAGTGCAAGGGCAGTCATATCACAGAAACTTTCAGTTTTGATCACACATCATGAACTATAAACAATCAAGTCAGATATGGTTATTCGTTTGATTTTTATACATGATTTATATGTGAATCCCACATTTCTCCCTTATTATTATTATTATTATTTTTTAGTAAAATGCTGAAGTGGTAGGTAGATGCAAGATAAAGGTAGAAAACATAATTTAGTGCTGTAAGTCTTTCTTTTTTTTAAGTGAGGTGCAGTTCACATTAAATTAATCACTAAAATTCACACAAACTAACCATTTGAAGTGAGCAATACAAGGGCAGTTAGAGAGCATTCACAGCATTGTGCGACCACCACCTCTATCTTGTTCTAAAACATTCTCATCACCCTTCCCCAAGAAAACCCTATACAGATTAAATACTCCTCATTTTTCCTTTCCCCCCAGTTTCTGGTAGCCACCAATCTACTTCCTGTCTCTGGGTTTGCCTATTCTGTTCAATTGGATCATACAATGTATGACTTTGTGTGTCTGACTTTTTAAACTTGGCATGTGGTTTTGAGGCTTATATAGTATGTCGTACAATAATCACCACGACAATGATTAGAATGATGGAAGAGCAGGAAATGCTTAAGATCCTGCATTTAGGTCTTAATGCAGAGTCAGGCTGGGATGACTGGGGAAGAGAGGCCTCAGCTGAGGAGGGGACCTGGACTGTGGTCTCCACCCAGGTGCGGGTGTCTAATCTCGGGTTCCAGTCAGTGGGTAACCTGGCAGCCTGCGTGGGCTCGGAAGAGCAGGGGCTGGGTAATACCTTCTCTTTCTTTACCCTGGTGTCCCCCGTCTGGGTGCCTGTTGTGGAGCCGCTCATTTTGGGGGAAGGCGCAGGAGCGGCAACCCCGATGGAAGGTGAAAGTATCGGGGGAGGTGACGGGTTTGCTGGGGGCCCCGTGCCTGGACCTAACTCGCGCTGGGCACAGAAACCCTCCAGGCACGCCTCGCAGTTGTCACTGTCATGTGGCCCCTCGAGAGATTTCTTTGATGGTAGGAATTTCCTCCTCGAACTTAAATCTTTCTCTGTAGCATTTCTTCAGAATTCGGAGCACCAGGTTGTTCAGGATCCTTGAGATGTTCTCTTCTATGAACTCGGGAGCCTCAAACAGAGCCTGGAAGCACTTCCGACATCTCTGGGCAAAGACCCTCATCTTCACCCGGCCCCTGCGTTCCCTCTCACTCCAGTGCATGTGGAAAAGGACCTGAACTTGGGCAGAGGTCCAGCTGCGAGAGCACAAGGAGCACTGGAACCTGTGGAGACAGAGGGTAAGAGCCTCAGCTCGGCTCCGTGTGGCCGAACTGGGGGCTGTGCCACAGGGAGGAAGGGGCGGCAGACAACACGGGGCCCACTTTGACTGGGGTCACGGGTTAGTGACAGGGGAGGTCCCTGAGCCCCTCAATTCTGTCTCCATTGTGTCACCAACGTGCCCTAAACCCACAGCCATCTACCACAGAAACAGCAAATCACAAGCCATCAGAGCCAGAAGGGGTCTTGGGCCTTTCCTAAGTGCAACGTGAGTGTCTTAGAGACGAGGCATGTTCTGGGAACTTGTCATGCCCAGAGACTCAGTGGGTGTCAGAGGCAGGACCAAAACTCCAGACTCCTGACCCCAAACCAGGGCTTATTCAAGTATGGATCATAGTGGGGCAGAGGTTACAGGAGGCCCATGAAATCCACAAATGCATATACATGGGTGTAGATAAATGCTGCTGTCTGAATGTTTGGGTCCCTCCCAGATTACCATGTTGGAATCCTAACCCCCAAAGGTGATAGTGTCAGCAAGTGGGGCTTTCGGAAGGTGATCAAGTCATGAGGGTGGAGCCCTCATGAATAAGAGTAGTGCCTTTGTGAAAAGACCCCACAGAGCTCCCTAGCTCCTTCTACCATGCAAGGATACAGTGAGAAGTCTGTAACCCAGAAGAGGGCTTTCATGCAACCAGCTGGCATTCTGATCTCAGACTTTCAGCTTCCAGAGCTGTGAGCAGTACATTTCTCTTGTTCATAAGCTGCCAAGTCTGTGGTATTCTTTTTTTTTATAGGAGCCTGAAAGGACTAAGACAGTAAGTCATAGACCCACAAGTCAGAGAGGGACCCTAAAAGGTCCAGTGGCCTAGGGAAGCACATTGCACGGCCCTGTTCTGCCGGTATTACAGGGAGATCATAGTAATCTCTCATTTCATCCCCCTCCGACCCAATTCACTGCTCACAATAGCCTGGAAATCTTCAAGTTCTGTGTGACTCTGGCCTCAGGACGCAAGAGAATGATGCCTCTTCTCAGCAGGGGGGAGGGAATTTATCTGAGCCCAGATATTTGGACAGATACATGTCAGGAAGGTATGGAGAGAAGGGAAGAGGGCAGGGAAGCCTATGGCTGCACCCAGGATAGGAATTATGGGAGGGGCAGAGGCTGCATTTAATGCCCACTAAATGCACCGCCTCTGTTTCCCAGCCCCTTTGCAGTTAGTTTGAGGCAATGTGACCAGTTCGCCAACAGGATGTGGACAGAAGTGAAACATGCTACTTCCAAACGTGGCACAGAAGCCCTTGGAAAACGCTCCAGCTTTCTCCACCTCACCAACCTTGGGAGTCCTGTGTTAGGTAAACCACCAATATTTCAGGGCTTATTAGTTATAGCAACCAAGTTTAGGCTTGCCTGGCTTGATGCACGGGCCCTGAAGTCTGGGGTAGTGGACCGGGAAGAATGAGTCAGTCAAGGCTCCCCTCCAGAATCCGGGTCCTGGCCTCACTCCACAGGGTGGACGTGAACGTGGAGGAAAGATGCCAAGAGGCTCGAGTACCCTGAGCGAGATGGCCTTGCTGGAGGTCATGCAGAGTGGGTGGTGCAACGGGGCCTGGGCCCTGTTCTGCTGGCCGACAGTTGCCTGCCCTCTCTCTGAGTCACACTGCTCTGCTGTGTGTCAACTCAGAGTTCAAAGTTCTCATGGAAAAAAGAGCTGAGCTTTTGCTCAGGTGCTCCTGGCCCAGGAAAACCACAGATGGCAAGGAGAGGAGATACCTGCTTCCTCCGCCTAGAGCCCCTCCCAGAGAGGGGGCAGTGGGCGGTTGCAAGCCCCTGTTATGGTCACCGGGTTAGAGTCCCAGGCCCCCACACTCTGTGCTGTGGACAACCCCACCCCCATCCCTGGGAACCTGCTTTCTCACTTAGAAAAGAGAGGGTGGGACTTTGGATGACTAGCAAGGATTCTATATTTGAAAGATTCCATCAGCTCAGAGTAGAGAGGGCAAGCCTGCTGTGTGTTGCTCAGCTCCCCCATCCTCTGCCCTCTCCCTGAGGGGTGTCCTCAGTGCCCAGGGCTTCTCTGTCATGGTGGACCCAGCATGTCCCGAGGCAGGAGCACATGCACCAAGCCTTGTGCATCCAGCTCTCCTGTGGCTGACGGAGATAGCTGCCATTTCTCCCCTCTGCTCACTGCTCCTGCCCTTACTCCTCGCAGCCTCATTTATCTGCATCTAGGCCTGAGCCCACAGCAGTGCCCATCCTGGTATTGTTTGGGCGTTTGTTATAATAAGGAAAAAACACCTTTACTGAAGCTAAAACTTCTTAGATGATAGGAACCTCACCTCCTGTAATCTTCAGTTTGCAAGCATGGAATCGAACAATGAAAGTAACAAGTATACACAGTAAGAAACAAGCTAGGATTTTCTGGAAATGTATTCCAGAAACGTGCCTTCCCATTCCTCCACTTACCTGGCGAAGACCCACTGCTGGTATTGTGCCCATTCTGGCTTCAGGACGTTGGGAAGAAGGCCTTTGTCTAGTGTCAGGGTCCATTTGTGCCATGGTTTTAGCTCCTGAATTAATTCCTGAAATACTTGCTTCCACACCTTCATGTCCTGACACATCGCTGCTGCTGTGGTGCGCTACCTGCTCCCACTTTAGAGAGTAAAGCTCAGACCCGTTCTCCCTTTGTGTACCAGATCTTTGCCCCAAGACAAAGGTCAGTTAGGTCTGGCTCCAAGGTCGGAGACCAGGGCTAGGCTGCACAGGGAATTCCCAAAGACACGGGATTTCATCAATAAAAATACTGTCCAAGCTATATTAAGCTGAAAAGCTTCTGTACAGCAAAAGACACCATCAATAGAACAAAAAGGAACCCTACAGTATGGGAGAATATATTTGAAAATGACAGATCCGATAAAGGCTTGACGTCCAAAATATATAGAGAGCTCACACGCCTCAACAAACAAAAAACAAATAACCCAATTAAAAAATGGGCAGAGGAACTGAACAGACAGTTCTCCAAAAAAGAAATACAGATGGCCAACAGACACATGAAAAGATGCTCCACATCGCTAATTATCAGAGAAATGCAAATTAAAACTACAATGAGGTATCACCTCACACCAGTAAGGATAGCTGCCATCCAAAAGACAAACAACAACAAATGTTGGCGAGGCTGTGGAGAAAGGGGAACCCTCCTACACTGCTGGTGGGAATGTAAATTAGTTCAACCATTGTGGAAAGCAGTATGGAGGTGCATCAAAATGCTCAAAACAGACCTACCATTTGACCCAGGAATTCCACTCCTAGGAATTTACCCTAAGAACGCAGCAATCAAGTTTGAGAAAGACAGATGCACTCCTATGTTTATCGCAGCACTATTTACAATAGCCAAGAATTGGAAGCAACCTAAATGTCCATCAGTAGATGAATGGATAAAGAAGATGTGGTACATATACACAATGGAATACTACTCAGCCATAAGAAGTGGAAAAATCCAACCATTTGCAGCAACATGGATGGAGCTGGAGAGTATTATGCTCAGTGAAATAAGCCAAGCGGAGAAAGAGAAATACCAAATGATTTCACTCATCTGAGGAGTATAGGAACAAAGGAAAAACTGAAGGAACAAAACAGCAGCAGAATTACAGAACCCAAAAATGGACTAACAGGTACCAAAGGGAAAGGAACTGGGGAGGATGGGTGGGCAGGGAGGGATAAGGGGGGGGAAGAAGAAGGGGGTTATTAAGATTAGCATGCATGGGGGAGGAGAAAGGGGAGGGTGGGCTGTACAACACAGAGAGGACAAGTAGTGATTCTACAACATTTTGCTAAGCTGATGGACAGTAACCGTAATGTGGTTGTTAGGGGGGACCTGATATAGGGGAGAGCATAGTAAACATAGTATTCTTCATGTAAGTGTAGATTAAAGATTTAAAAAAAAAAAAAAAAAAAAAGAAGAAAGAAAGAAAAGGGGGATTACTCCTTAACAGGATAAAACTATTGGTAAATCAAAGATCAACGCATGCTTTAAATATCCTTAATGTTGATCACTTAAAGGGTGTCAGATGATCAGCTATGGAGGTACTCTTTTCTGATAATATTCCTTTCTCTTAATTAAAAAAAAAAAAAAAAAACAGTTACTGTGTGCTGACCTCCAATGAGTTCTGCACAGTGGTATAGAGGGCATGTCAAAGTGTGGGCAAAGGGTCTGTTTGTTTCTATGCAGAAGATCAAGGCCTAGCTTGGATACCCAGAAAATGAACTAAGATACGATATGAGGAGGAGCTTCCGGCATCAGCACTCTCTGGAGGACTTGTGCCGGGGGATGATCATCAAAAAGCCTCCACAGGGATCCGGACGATGCTGCGGTTGTGGCTGCATCCAGCCCACCGTCTCCTGGACTTGCCATAAGAATGAGGAGGGAGATGTCTAGGCTGGCATGTGCATACAGTGAGACAACGAATTTGACCGGATCTGTACTGTTGGAACTCAACCAGGAGTTGGGAGGGGTGCAAGTTGTAGCACTCCAAAATCTCATGACTATAGACTATCTATGGTTAAAAGAACATATGGGATGTGAACAGATCCCAGAAATGGGCTGCTTTAATTTGTCTGATGGTTCAAGTACAGTTGGACAATATCCATCATATCATAGATAAATTTTCACAAATGCCTAGGGTGCCTAAATGGTTTTCTTGGCTTCACTGGAGATGGATGGTAATTATAGATTTGCTTTGTTTATGTCACCGTATTCCTATTATGTTAATATGTGTGTGCAAATTAGTTAGTAGTTTAAAACCTATACATACTTAAGGTACTATACAAGAAGATATGTCAAAGAAATAATCAATCCTCCCAAGTTTCCTTCATATGCTACATCTATAGCTTTTCTTCTTCCTTCCTAATTACAACCCTTAAATAGAATTCGTGCCTCATATCGAATTTACCGAGTATCATAATTCCTCCAGGTGGTAAAGATACCTCGAGACAAGTGCTGGGCATAGAAGCCACAGGGCATAAATCTGCAAAGAAGTAAAAAGCTAACCTTTTCAAACAATATGGCTTCTCTCTCACTTACCAACTTTACATTTCCCTGTATGGCCCCGGAAGATGACTGGTTAGCCAGAGACAGGTAAGATTCCTCAAGGGAGGAACAACCTAAGACAGGCACAGTTGCAGGGGGGCCATCAGGTGAGAAATTGGGGATCAACAGAGGTGAGGCTTAGAACCCCCCCCACCCCCGTTCTGAGAGAAATCTTCTGCATACGTGGATGTTTTATTGCCCTTGTCTAGCTTGGATTAACACATAGTCTACAGGCACACACCTGATCATCTACATTTGCTCTCCTACAACACTAAACTGTTTTCTACCGTTATCTTGCATCTACCTACCACTGCAGCATTTTATTAAAAATAATAATAATAAAGAGAGAAATGTGGTATCCGCATATAAATCAAGTATAAAAATCAAACGAATATTCATATTTGAACTGATTGTTTGTAGTTCATAATGCGTGATCAAAACCGAAAGTTTCTGTGATGACTGCCCTTATACTGTTCACCATGTAACTTGTTCACCATGTAAGAACTTGTTCGTTATGCTTCAGAAGATTGGAGACTGACGAAAATTAGGCTTGGGGTGGATTAATGATTGTTCATTGAGCATTGACTCCCCTATACAGAATTTTATTGTTGTTAACAACCATTTGATCAATAAATATGAGAGATGCCCTCTCAAAAAAAAAAAAAGTACAGACTTCCAATTGCAAAATAAATAAGTAACTGGGATGTAATGTATGGCATAGGGAATATAGTCAAAATATTGTAACAACTTTGTATGGTGATAGCTGGTTGCTAGAATTATCATGTATATAAATGTTGAATCACTGTGTTGTACACCTGAAACTAATGTAATACTGTGTGTCAACTACCCCTCAATAAAAAATAATTATCTACAAAAAAAAAAAATACTGTCCAAGGAGATCTCTGGACTGCACATCAGGAGGAATGGATCTCAGCGTGCCTCTACCTTTAACTGAGAGCACATCCTTCTGGTGATAAAGCCCTTGCAAATGGTGGAGAGAGGCTGCAATTGTCCTTTCTAGTTTTAACATTTGAAAATCCTTATCAATTGGGCTGCTGAGCTGGTGAAGAGAGAGAGACAAACGAAGAAGGATGTGGCCATCGTGTGCCTGTGAGGTCACTGTGTCCCTGCCTGTTGCTCTTTCTTTCTTGCTGCAGCCCAGTCTGTGCAGGACTGTGTCTCAAAGACACTATGAGTCCAAGGTGACTCCCAAACCCAGTCTCTCACCCTTAGAAACCAAAGCTGATGCAGTCCACGTGCCCAGGAGATGAAGCTATGAGGTCTCTACATGGATGAGAGGCCAGTGGCCACAGCCCAAGGTGCTCCACTGTCCCTCCCTTCCTCTGGCAGAGGCTTGAGAAGGAGGAAGGGGAGAGGAGCAGCGGCAGATTAGGGTGGGAGCTGAAGCAGGCCGTGGCCCAGGGAAGGCGGACACGATCCCGGTGTTTGTATCACGGCCCATCTACAGCCAGCCTGGCACTGACCTGCGCCTCTGCGCCCTCCCAAGAGGAGAGCCCCTCCCTCTACCACTCCTCCAGCCTGTCTGCATAGTGCTGCCTGGCATGGCATTCAGACGCTTCACAGGCTACCCCTGCATTCTCCCAGCCTCAGCCTTGCCAAGCTCTTCCACCCCCAAACCCACAGTCCAGTCTCCCTTGCACCCCAAGCCACTCTCCCTCCCTTCATGCTGTCCCTGAAGGCCCCTGCCCTCCAAGCCTTGCCCAGGGTGCTTGCCTTCCCACAGCTCCTGCTACCCTTCACATTCTAGGGCCTCCATGATGCCTGCTCCGCATTCCACCTCCCATCCTAACCGCTGCTCCAGAAAGAGAGCTCAGCGGCCAGGGAGGCCATCTCTCCCCCAGCCTACAGCTGAGCAAATGCGAATGCTCTTTGGTGCTACAGAACTAGTTCAGATACAGTGGGGACCAGAGACTATTTAAACAAAAACTGTCTTACTTTCTGGTCTGATGTGACATCTCATGTGAAAATGCCATAGCCAGTTCTGTTTCCTTAAAACCACCCTTGAAATTAATTGTGCAAGGAAATCTTGAAAGATACCAGATAACAAGTGTTTCTGGCGTCATGGAAAGGTTACCTTTAAGCGTTTTGCTCTAGTAGGAATACTCTAACTGAAGAACTCTGTGTTCTTAAATGATATAAATATTTGATATTAAGAGCACGTGAGAAAGCTTGTCACATTTAAATTAACATAGGCTGAATGTCTTCCCTAGAACTATCATGAGTAACATCATGTACCAGATTTTCCAGAGAATTCTAGGTTTCTGGGGTGGGGCAGAGGATGCCAAGGCATTCTCAGAGTTGGTCCAGGCATCAGCAGTTCTCAAAAGCTCCCCAAGTCATTCTAATGCCTGGTTATGGTGGAGACCACACAGGGTGGCTGAGGGGAAGGAAAACCTGGGAAGACCCTGATCAGCAGCCCAAAGGGAGACAGACCCAGAGCCAGAGGAGGCGCTTCCTTCTGCAGCGCTGTGGCCAAATCAGAAGGCTTACAGTCTGGTTTGCAGGGGTCAGTCTGGGGGCTGCCTAGTCGAATCCACCTGCTGGGTTAGATGCTGGCAGTCTGAGCGGTGGGCCGGTGGGCCACAGGGAGGGCAGAGGGCTCTGGGGGGAGGGGAGAGGACTGGCTAAAGTGGTTGGGAGAGAGAAAGCAGAGGGAGGAGGAAAAGGAAAGGAGTCTTGGGGGACAAATGTGGCAGCTTGCTTGGGGGTGAGGGGGTTGGAGCGTTCAGCGTCCTTGCCTCCGGGCCGCACGGGCACAGGCCAGCACCTTCACCAGGGCCTGAACTGCGGTGGTCTGTCCTCTGCCTTCTCCAGTTTTGTT